CCAAGGTTTTGGCAACCGCACTCTATACGAAGTGCTCTTGGGAAAGGTCCCTACCTACGATCATCTCCGCATTTTCGGATGCTTGGCCTATGGGAAAGATACGCCCAAAAGCCTTCCCAAATTTGGAGAACGTGGACACCCATCCATTTTCGTGGGGTACCCGACAACTCAGAAGGGATATCGGTTGTGGGACTTGGAGGCTCGGAAGTTTTATGTTAGTTGGGATTTAATCTTCATGGAAAATGGTTTTCCTTGTCATGCAGGTGCAGGAGATGTTTCCCAGATTTTGAAGAGTTGTCCTCCTTCCCCTCGCTGCTGTTATTCCTGAAGCCGAAGTGCTTCAAGATGCCTCGCCGGTTACTCCTCCAGTCGATGAGGATAAGGAAAGCGACGATAGGAGCTCAACTTCCCACACTACTATTCCTTCCTCTGAGAACTCAGACTATGATTGCATTGAAGAGGATTCACCTCCTCCTTTGGACCCTCCTGGGCGGCGCAGCTTGCAAACTCGTATTGTTCCCAAGCACTTGGACGTTTACGACACCGAGCTGCCACCATCCGACATTCTTACCCCATCAAAAATCATGTCAATTACCATGCTGTTTTTCAGTCTCATCGAGCCTTCTTATCAGCTGTGGGTCGTGCTCCAGAACCCAACTACTTCCATCAAGTCATTCGCCACATTGAATGGCGGAAAGCTATGAAACGTGAGATCAAGGCGCTTGAAGAAAATCACACCTGAATGCTTGTTCCACTACCACCAGGGAAGCAAGCCATCACACCAAAATGGGTGTATAAGATCAAGTATCATTCCGATGGCAGTATCGAGAGGTACAAGGCTAGGCTCATTGCCAAAGGCTTCACTCATGTAGAGGGAGTGGATTATCATGACACGTACGCTCCGGTTGCTAAGTTGGTTAGCATACGTGCCCTCCAATCTTTTGCTGCGGTTCGATGCTGGGCTATGGATCAGCTTGACGTCAACAACGCCTTTCTAGATGGGGACCTCGACGAAGAAGTCTACATGAAGATCCCAGAAGGCTTTGCAGTTCCTGGTGACACTCGTGTGTGTCGTCCACACAAATCCTTGTATGGATTGAAGCAAGCTTCTCGTAACTAGTACGCTAAGTGCACTTCAACTCTTTTGGGCCTTGGTTTTACACGTTCACGAGCAGATTATTCTCTCTTTGTTCGGAAGACTGCTACCAGTTTTTTTACAGCCTTGATATACGTTGATGACATCAAACTCGCTGGTGATGATCCTGCATTTATTGAGCACGTCAAGTCCACCTAACTGATCGGTTCGGGATCAAAAATATGGCCGCTCAAGTACTTCTTGGGCATTAAGGTTGCTCGCTCACAAAAAGGTATCGTGCTCAGTCAGCGCAAATATACTCTTGATCTTCTTCAGTATGCAGGGCTTACAGGGGGGCGCCCCACTTCCGTCCCGATTGAGTAAAATCATCCTCTCATTCGTGCATCTGTCGATGATGAATCCCAAAAAGTGGATAAATCTTCTTATCGTCGTCTGGTCGGTCGATTACTGTATTTGATCGTCACTCGGCCTGACATTGTATATTTCGTCAATATACTCAGTCGTTTCGTGCATTCACCGACTTCTGCACACGTAGATGCTGCAGATCGTGTCCTTCGTTACATGAAAAATGCGTCGAATCAAAGGATTTTGCTCCCATCTCATGGCACTCTACAGTTAACTGCCTACTACGACGCTGATTGGGTTGGTTGTCAGACGAAACGCCATTCTACTTCTGGGTACTTTGTTATGTTGGGTAATGCTCATGTTTCTTGGTGGACCAAGAAACTGACTGTTGTTGCTGGGTCATCTGCTGAGGCCGAGTATCGTCCCATAGCTAGTGTTGTCAGCGAGGTTCTTTGGCTTCGAGCTCTCCTTCGTGACCTGGGTGTTGTTCAGTCTGCTCCTACTGTTCTCCACTGTGATAACTAGGCTGCTCTGCATATTGCGTCCAATCCTGTGTTTCATGAGCGGGACTAAACACGTTGAGCTTAACTGCTACTTTGTTCGCGATCATGTCACCAGCCGCACCATCCTTCCTACGAAGACTACTTGTCATGATCAGATAGTGGATCTCTTCACCAAGGGCCTCGACAGCGAACAATTTCACTATCTCCTCTCCAAGCTCGGCATTTGTAACCTGCATGCTTCGCTTGTGGGGGATAAAGGGTATACGTGCATGTGCATGAGTAGGGACTGTTTGGTATTTTTTTTCCTTCCTAGTCTCTACGGCCAACCCTAGGTTATTTGTGCATTAGGGTTGTATTTATAGTTCTTGTAATTGCTCCGATGCAGACTTGAGTTACGAATTAGAGAAAGACTGAGAACGGGTTCTCCTTCTCCGAGGATTAGTCTCATTCATACAGAACAGGAATACAACGTAAATCGCATGTGTCGTGTTTACTTTCTTATCGTATATTAGATTTTTCATGAATAGCCGAGCATCCATAAACCAGTTGGTCCCAATAACTCGAGTTGTTGGGAGAAGGTTGTGTTGGATCTTATACCACTCTCTAACACGCCCCCTCAAACGAAAGCCAACTCATGGGCTTGAAGTTTGCACAGGCTCACCATACCTTGTGCTTTAATCAACTGTTAATATTGGGGATCGTGGAGATTCGAACACTCGACCACTTGGCAAACAAACTCTGGTACCATGTCATAAACCAGTTGGTCACAATAACTCGAGTTGTTGGGAAAATGTTATACTGAGTCTTGTAACCTCTAAATTTGCACCCAATCACAAGGTTTCGATTTAAAAAAATAAAACTAACTCACTGATAAATTTGAATTTTATAGAATGTTATTGGTTGGTCGATTTGGATTGCATCGCTGGATCGATTTTGGATTTTTTTTTTATGTTCACCCTACATGTGTTTTGAAGTTTGGAAGGATGATTTTTACATTTTTCAGAAATATATCAAAATATAGCGTTGCTGAACCTAGGGGTGGGCAGCGGAACGGGACGGGATACCCGTCCCGTTTTAAACGGGTACCCAGTCCCATTTGGAGACCAAAGTCCATCCCATATCCCAAACCCATATAGGAAACGGGTACCCATTACCCGTACGGGACGGATAACGGGTACCCATACTACCCATAAATACCCAAAGTTTAAATAACATCACATTACATATCTTTATAATAACATGCTCTTGCGGGGAATAATAAGAACACGATATGAAAAAAACATAAAATCATTTCAAAACATGTCCCAAAACCATTTCAAAACATGTCCCAAAACCAGATGACGTTTTAGCTAAAGACAATTACATCCCAAACCCACTACATAAACATGTATTAGCAAAGAAATGACGGCGGGAGCAAAAGTTCGGAGTAGGCAGCTATTCTAATACATTCCACAAAGAAAACATATAGCACAAGTTCGGAATGGTTGGTGCTGCCATTCTCCCACTGCAGGCTGTTGTCGCCATTCTGCCTTTTGAATGGGTATAACGGGTACCCATATTACCCAAACGGGTATTTGCGGGTAACCTACGGGTACCCATATTAGGAATGTACAATCCCAAGTCCCATCCGTTTATAATATTACGGATAATGTGGGTACCCGTAACCCTTAAAAAACGGGACGGGTACGGGTATACCCAAATACCCGTTTCCCGTTGCCCATCCCTAGCTGAACCACTGATTATTATGATTAGAAGGGTGTATACAGCTCAAAAGTACCAGTTAAGTTGTGCAAATGATGATATCGACAGTGATCATTCCAAATAAGGAAAAGGGTAATAATTAACCACGTGATTCTGTATTCATTGATATAATTAACCACCTGAGTTATGAAACAGAATAATATTAACCACGTGATTCTGTAATCTCGAGGTGAAATAGCATGGCTACTCTTTTTTCCTTTGAAGAACTTTTTCCTTTCCCCATAAAAAAGACACCCCATATAAATTTTGTATATAAAAAATTAGTTAATTGTGCATATGGATCTGTAAAAGTTCGCCTAGACTCTCGTTTAAGTTCATTAGGCATGAGATTGAAGGAAAATTCTTGGGACGGGTCAGCATGCTAACCCTTAAGGGTTGATTTTTTGACACCCCTTTTAATTGGTCAATTTTTCATTAATTATTGACAAGTATTAATGAAAGTAAACATAATAAATGTTATGTTATTAAATACACCACATTAATTACCACTTTACTGGTATTTGTACCACTGCACTGATACTCAAATATGACATTGCTACCAGTGCACTGATATCGCTACCAGTGCAGTGGTATATCTACCAATACAGTGGTACAACGTATCAGTGCAGTGGTATATCTACCAGTACAGTGGTACACCGTATCTGTGCAGTGATATATTTTTTGGAGGTGGTCGGAGGGAGTCTGCCGATGGGATTTTCACCGGAGAAGTGTGGCGATCGGAGGAAGTCTGGTGGTCGGAGGAAGTCTGGTGGTCGGAGACTGCTGAAAAAGGAAAAATCAAATATAGTGAGAGAATTCCTAATGTATATTTAATGTGTGTATTTAATTCGTAATGTGTATTTAATAGTGAGAGAATTCCTAATTAATATGGTACATTTAATTCCTAATGTGTATTTAATGTGTGTATTAAATTCTATAGTTGTATTTAATATACTAGGGGTGTGATTTTTCCAACCCCTGGATCATTCATTATTGACAAGTATTAATGTGTGTATTTAATATACTAAGTCATACTTTAAATGACGCAGTGTTGTCTCTCGGCCTGAAATTAAAGCTCTTTTCTGAAATATATTAAAGTATATCGTTATACACCGCCATCGCGACCGCCACGGCCACGGATCATTATGATTAGAAAGGTGTAAACAACTCAACATTACCAATTAACTTATCCAAGTGATGATATCCACAGTGATCATTCCAATTAAGGAAAAAGGTTAATAATTAACCATGTGCTTCTGTATTCATTGATATTCGTCACATTTTCAATATAAATAGGACTCGCCAAAGCACGGCTTCCAAAACACACAGATCGTTATATCACAATCTATCAATCAATAATCATAATAATAATAAAATGTCTCGGTTCGTGATGGAATCCAACAATCTATGGCTGATTGCCATGACCGACGGCACGATCAGGGTGATGGAAGGCGCGTACTCGCCGGATCTCAACACCCACGACGTGCCGAAAAATCCCACCAGCTGGAAGCAAGCGGCTCGGATCGGGAGCAACGCGCACTGCACCCACCGGGAGCTGGAAGTGTTCGGCGTGACGTTTACCGGCGAGAAGGTGGAGGAGCTGAGGAGTGGCATCGCCGGGCAGCAGAGGATGGTCAACAGGGAAGGGTTCATCGTCACGTGGCTCAACCCTGGCGGCGGTAGCACCAGCATCAGGCCCAACAGCCTCCTGCGCCGCCTCAACGACCTCTACCAGTGGTCCAAGCACGGCGTCCAGGTCACCGTCCCGGTGGGGACCGCGTGGGATCGATTCGAGCTCACCACCGGGAAGCTCATGGTTGGGGCCGGGGCCGGGGGCTCAGCACAAGCGAAGGAGTTGGAGGAGAAGGAGAAGGAGAATCAGAGGCTTCAGGCAGAAAAGGACAAGGAGATTGAAGAGCTGAAGAAGCAGGCCAAGGAGAAGGAGGATGAGCAGCTTGCCGCCAAGAAGGAGAACGAGGAGCTGAAGAAGCAGGGTCAGGAGAAAGACGACCAGCTTGCCGCCAAGGACAAGCAGATCGCTAACCTCCGGAATGCTCTCAGTGCATTCGTCTAATATGTCTCCTGCATATGCATGCATGCATGCATGAATCTCTATATACGTACGTGTGTTCTGTTGTTGTGTGTTTAATTGGTACCTCCTGATGAGGATCAGTTGCCAATCAATTAATAAACTGTGGCTTTGTGTGTACCTACTCTTCCTTATGTGTGTATACTGTATTGTATGCATATACATGCGTTTTACTTTGGCCAATTAATTAACAAAAACCCGACAAACCCCACCAGCCAGTCAAAACATTTGATTTGAATACAGCTACCTAGCTAGCTACCGCTAATTAGGCGTGCTTTACCTCATTCTAACTTGAATTTTAGATAATGACTAGGGACAATAATGGTTCGGATACGGTGTGGATACCTTATATCCACTATCTTCCATATATGCCCACGGATTTTACCCGTCACCGTCCCGTAAAGATATATGGGTAAAAAATCTGGCTCACGCCCAAACCCAAGTAGATTTCGGTGAATCCACGGGTCACGGGTCCCGCCAACATATAACCAAAACCATTCCTCTATATCATTACAACGTATTAAATGAAGTGAATTGAAACTAAACCAAAACATTTATGACATAAAAGTAGTCAGCTAACAAGGAAAGAAAGCCGAGCTAACAATCCAGAACTGTAACCATGAACTTGCAAACCCATAACTTGTCTGAAATCCAGAAATATAACCATGATAAACCCATAATAACTGTATCAAAATCTCAGTTAACAAGGAAAGAAAGCCGAGCTAACAAAGTTGAAAACATAAAATAGTATTAAATCCGAGCTATCAAAATCCATCTTCATCAGCACCCCATTAGGTAAAACATCCACAACAGACTAGCAGGCCTTTGCCATTATCAGCAGCCAGCAGGCAACAACACATTATCCTACCATCAACATATCAACAATACATCATACACCACTAATTCATTAACTAGTGCCTAATGGACAAGATTATACATTATGATAGATTCAAGGTGTGTTTAGAATTTAACACAGAACTCAGAAGCAAGCATTAGTAGGGAAAATGAAAAATGTTAATGGTTCGATCACAAACCTAGAGCTAGTCCAGCAGGTTGATGACAGCAGCTACATCATCCTCATCTCCATTCTGCATCGATTGACTTCAGGCTCCATCTGTTACAAAAATTATGGTTAGAAAAGATCAGAAACCTAAGTTAATGCTTTGGGAACCTAGCTTCCTGGGAACGTTGCTACTGTCATTTTATTCAGAGAGTCGAATGCGCTTTGCTAATGTGTCCCTTGAGGTGGTTCCTCTTCGAACGTCGCTGATGCCTTCTTGTTCAGGGTGTGGATCGCCTTTCTGCTGTGTTATTCACGTTGGCGCCCAGTTGCTTTTGCTTCCAGCTGGTTTTCGCCATGTTGGCGGTGTCTAAGTTTTTGTTTCGAGTCTGAGTCCGTCTTAGAGTGTTCTATGCTAGCTTCTGTTTTGGCTTGGACTCGGATTCTATTTCGTTTATTGTTGGTGGGAGCAGGGTTCTCTCGGTGGGCCTACCTCACGGGCTCTTTTGTTTCATTTTTCCAGGTTTTCGTCCTGTTTGCGTTTCTGAAGCGCGCACTTCTTGTGCTGCTGAATTCTTTGGTTTTGTTTGGTTTTTGTTAATTAAAGTTTCACCTTTATCAACAACAAAAAAAGGTTAATGAACTAGTTATAGCAATTTCATCTTTGAGAAACCAGTTAGTTACCTGCATACTCTTCCACCGAGGCATCATATATCATCATGGCTTCAACTGTTACGGGATCAAGCCTGCTCCGATGGGGGTCAAGAAGCCTCCCACCAGAACTAAAAGCAGATACCGAAGCAACACTTATAACAGGGACAACAAGTAAATCTCTTGCAATGTCTTGCAAGATGGGATACTTGGCACCATTGAATTTCCACCCATCCAAGCAAATCAAAATATGGTATTCTATAAGATGCTAGGGCCCAAATGTACACATTTTACCACTCATTTCTTATTCGTTTAGCCTAGTATTTCATTGTTCCTCGGCATATTTCACGCTAGGTTGTGCTTATTTTGATATGTTTTGGGTCCTAGCACGTGTGGAAGGGTCGAGGTCAAATTTTGGGATAATGGGAGGTCAAAAAGCGCAAAAACCGAAGAAAAGTCTGAAGTGCCCCGTAAAAGTGAAGTGCAGTCGTCCAAGAAGCAGCCGCAGTTCACGGTCAAACAAGGGAGTTTACGGTCTCCTAAGACCGTGAACTGTAGCCACAAACCGTGAACATTGAGAAGTCCAGCGAGGTTTCAGAGGTTACTGACGCCAAGGGAGTTCACGGTCGCTAAGACCGTAAACTGGAGCCAATGACCGTGAACAACAAAAGCGAAGCGGTGGGTTTTGGACCAAACCGAGTTCATGAATGTGTTTAGGTGTTCACGACCGTGAACTGGCCAACGCGTCCGTGAACTGGTCACTTTCGGGCAAATATGAAGACTGCAACGGGGAGAGAGAAGGAGAGCTGGTTTTTGGAGAAGAATTGGTTTCTTTCGCTAAGGTTTCGACCCAAAACACCATAGAGGAGTTCAAGAGAGTGAGAGAAGGATCTTGGAGCTTAATTGAAGGCATTGTTCAAGCTTGGGAGCAAGGAATGAAGCCTATAAGAAGAAGAAGAAGAAGAAGATCTAGAGGTTCCTTTGTAATCTCTCTCTCTCTCTCTCTCTCTCTCTAGAAACTCACTATTTTCTCTTGGGTGTTGTAGATCCCTAAATAATACTTTGTAATTACTTCTTTAGATTGAATGATTTTGTATGGGTTTGCATCAATTTGAGTATTAGAGGTGTTTTCATGGTGATTGTACTTAGTTGTGCTTTCCAAATCTTGTGTGCTTGCCTAACCTAGATTAGAGGAAAACCACACCTTTTTAGGTAGGCTTGACAAGCTTGGTTTTTCTGGGCACTTTGTGCCTACTATCTAGGTTAGAGATGAGCATCCCCCTTGACTCAAGTTTGCATCTAGGTTGGTTGTGATTAAGCCGCTCAAACTCCGGTATGAGGGAGAGACCTAGGCAACCCCTAGAGACTGAGTGATAGGATCGATTCCGTGACAAATCGATCTCTAGTGAATCCATCCCGTGTCAAATGGATCACTAGTTTCTCCTCCTAGCGGTTACCCTAGACGTCGTGAGTGGACCAATCCCGTGACAAATTGATCGCTAGTAAATTGATTCTGTGACAAATTGATCACTAGTTGCTCACTCTCGCGGTTCACAACCACCTACACCACACGACTCCATTCAATCCAATGAGTCATGGTAGCTAGTTAGGGGGAAGCAACTCCTGGGTGAAGCTCCCTTAGTTAGAATTTTCCTTTATTTACTTTTCTTTGCTTGTTTAGTTTGTAGTTACATTAGTTCTAAACTCAAAATTTGCTTGCTAGATAAAAACCTAAGCGATTGAAGTAGGGGTACATGGATAGGCCCGGGTTGAAATTAAAACTTACTTGCCCTATGCTGCACCCCTCTATAGTTTATAAACTTGGGATCTAGAGAGGATTTCTAGTGTGGTGTTTTGTGCGAGTCAAGGTTCTGGCGCCGTTGCCAGGGACCTTACGGTCCGTTATCCAAAAAAGGTCGCTTAGTGTTACTATAGAATTTTCTATCTTGCCTTTTTGTTTATGTTTTGTGTTTCGTGTGTGTTTTTTTTACCACTCTTCGTCTTGAAGGGTGGTTTGTGTTTGTTTGATTTTTCTTTTTAGTGTTTTTGTGTTTGTAGGTATTGGTCATGGATCCTTATGATTTCGCCCAAGTGTGGGGGTATCCACCAACACCCGAGAGTGGTTACCCCGGGACTTCATGGGACGATCAAGAAGGGGGAAGTCAAGAATCCGGATTCTACTACCAACCTCCCTTCCACGAAGAGCAACCAAGCTCATGGGGATACTAATAAGCTTCCCATATCAAGATGGTTTCCCACCACAACTCAAGGAGAAATCAAAGTTGGAGTTGGCACGAAGACTTTCATGGGACAAACCTCAAGACCATGTGCCACTCCACAACTGGAGCCAAAGAGAAAATTAGAGCTCATGGTGGAGCCATTTGTTTGGGGCACCAATGAAGGGTGATCTAGCTTGGACCTTCCCATCACCGGCCTTATCTACTCAACCTTTCTTTGGGAGGTAGGGAGCTTCGTCGACGCACGGAGAGGCAAGGAGAGATTTTTGAGCAAGCATGTGCACAACTTGATCACCATTGCCTCCTACCATTGGAAGAAAGAGAGGAAGTCAAAGAGGTGATCCATGAGAATTTTGGAAGAACGAGTTCCGCCATGGATTTCCAACCCCTCCCTCCTCTCGGTTTAATACTAGAAGAGAAAGTGGCACGAGCTTGTGAAAGCTATCGCCTCTCATTATTGGAGGAGAAGGAGGAGGTTGAAGGAGTGATCAATGATAACCGTGTGGAGTAAGAAGAACTCACCCTGGAGAGTTCCGTGGGGAGGATGAACAAGAAAGTTGCATTGATGACTCCCATGACTTTCCCCTTCCCGAAAGCAACTTTGAAGACCAAAACACGAGTGTGGAGGTGCAAGATAATCCCTTCTATGACCTTGCACGGCATCTTGCCCTCATATTTTTGCTGAAGACATGAATGAGAAGGAGAAAGAAGAGGTTGAAGAGGATGGAGCGAACTTTAAAGAGGAGGAAGATCTCGAGTGTTTCCAAGGGGAGGAAATTGATGAAGAAGGAAGGGAGGTTGAGGAAGAAGTAAAGGAGCAAGTGGCGTCCAAGATGAGGACGAGGTCGTTGTGGATGAAGTATCCACAAGTTACAAGAGCTAGCAATGCTTTCCACCCGACCTCGATGCACTTTTGGAGAAGGACCCGTTTGCGGCTCTTTGCCAAGCCAAGGCCAAACCATCGGTGATCCCTCTTGGTAAATGCGATGGAAGTCGATGTTTCACAATATGGTGTGGGGCAAAGAGAAAAGTGAAGAAAGTAAGAAGAAGAAGTCTCGTGGTTGGAGCCTCAAAGTTGATCAAATTCACAAGCCCTCAATCATGGATCCGTCCAAAGCTTGTGGCTTGAGATTTCATCTTACCGACGGGAACCTCAACTTCAAGGAGGTTCTTGGGTGGACCGAAACTTGAAGAGCAACCGTCCGGCTCACGACGTTAAAGAAGCGCTT